GGGTAGAAAATGCATATTATTCCAACAGCAAGCCATAAAAATTCTGTACAATGGCTCAGTATTGGCATGAGAGATTCAGGCACAGCATTACTCTTGTTAATTGTTCAAGATTCTGCTCAGTTCCTAACAAGAAAAAAGATCCTGTCCTTCAGTGTAAATCTCGCGTGTTGCATTTTCATTATCTACTTGTATAAAACAAAATTATGGTTTTCCAAGCTGTCTTTATTATGTTAGTTGCTGATGATTAAAGACAGCTTTACTGTGATTGCTTGAGAGGTATTTATTACAAATAAACAAAAGAAATCAGTTCACTTTTCAGGATGAATGCTTTGAATAGAAGGAATAATGAAATGCAAACACTGCAGAGCTATTTTACCAGAGCAAAAATGGCTAAAGAAAAAATACAAGCCTTTAATTGATGAAGGTTGTCTGTAAGTTCAACCAAACTAAATTTTGATTTCTGCCACAGGTAATCAGTTTGTTTGTAACTTCTGGGTTTATTAGGATAAATATCCCACTTCTGGAATGTCTATTTAGTCCAAAAGTGAAGGAGATGACACCTGTGATTTCCAGATTGGTTCACTGTTACTTTTCAGGAATAAGTAATTGCGTTACCAGTGCTCATGATCTCAGTAGCATCAGTTCAAGGTTGAGTGAAATTGTCTGTGTTTTACTATGACTTTAAGTTCCATATCTGAGTGACAGAAATCCAAAATATTTGCCTTTTCTGTTTACCTTTTATCTCTGTCTCACAGCCCTTAGCATTGTGTTAGTACATCTGTGTTTTCTGTGCTATTAGGCTACTATAAAAATAAATTAATTTGAGACCAAAGATAAATCACGAGGTAAAATAAGAAAGAGAAAAATAAAATTAATTATATATGTGTTAATTATTCTATTAAGACTGGTTTATTTTGGAGGCTAATCATGTCACTGCAAAATGACAGTTCCATTTCTGCATGCACAGCAGTTTGTTCTAATAGCATCTTTTTCCCTTTTTTTTTTTTGTACTCCTGTTTTTATTGGTCATTGCTTCACAGAAGTTATTGAGCTTAATTTTAATGCTACTCAATGACATTGCAGAAGTGTTTTTGGGCACAAAGGCTGAATGGATGTATTTCCTGTAAAAGCAATTGTTGCGTGCAAAAAGGGTATCAGGGGCTTCTAGCTAAATACAGATTTCTGGAGAATTAAATGACTAGACAGTTTTGCAGTATTACTAATGTAGAAAATAGTCTCTGTAGGGCAGCTGTCATATGAGTAGACTAGTGGATAACATAGGTGGAAATTTACAGAGAAACATCATTAAAATTTTGGATCAAATAGTTTATGCTTGCTATTTCTCACTTAGTCTAGTCTAAGGGAAACAGTGTATCTCCTTTTTTAGTTTAACTTATGCCTTGAATATTAGCAAAATTAAGAAAGCAGCACACCTCAATATTTAACAGCATTGTCATCGACTTTCTTTAAAAAAGTATCAGCAAGATGTCTTATGGTAATTATCTACGTGCAGCTATGGTTTAGCAGCCCTTCATGTAAGCAAACGTATTTACTTAAATCACCATCTGTAGTGAGCTCCATTTGAGATAAAAAATGTTCTGCAGCTGTATGTTGGAGGTGGGGGCTAAGCAATAAGTGTTTTTAAATTCAATTGTTTAAAATGCACACTGCATGGAAATAGTGATGGGTATTCTTTTGTTGTCAGCATCAGCAAGAACATTTATATGCTGAGCAGGCAACTTGGAATCAATCATACTGTGGGTTTATTATTTAATAAATTCTATAGGGTTGAGATTTTTGCAGCATGGATTTGCTCTACTGGATTATATTGTTTTCATATAACCTTTCTGTTCCACTTAGAATTTGCATTTGTACAAAAGTATTTTGAGCAGCTATTTCCCTAAAAATAGAGCAGATATTGCAAGGGTGAGTTTTTTTCTTGTTGCTTTTAAAGCTCTAATGTCATCATTCCACTTAATATGTAAAAAGTAACAAAACAAAGATTTAAATTCTATTAAATTCAGTTTTTTATTGTGAGCCATATTTATTTTAAATATTTAATTTTTGGTAAAAACCATGCTAATTAAGTATTTTAAATAACTGCTTGAACAAAAGCAGGCATGCATGGAATAAACCCAAGTTGGAGATGAATGCACAGAGCAGTATGGGAAGACTTGAAGTTGGGCTGAACTCACTGTTTCTGTCCAAGTGCAGCACAGAATACACAGAATCATGGAACCATTTGGTTTGGGAAAAACCTCTAAGCTCACCCAGTCCAACCATTACCCCAGCACTGCCTATCACTAATCCCCATCCCCAGGTGCTACATCCAAAAATCCTTTAAATCCATCCAGGAACAGTGAATTCACCATTTCCCTGGGCAGCCTGTTCCAGTGCTTGACAACCCTTTCAGTGAATGAACTGAAGTGTTGGCTTAAAAAAAGTATGGAAAATAGAAATTGAATCTCTTTTCCTAATTTCTGCCAGTTTACAATAATTGGTACAAAATTTGATTTTAAAACTGATTCCAAGATTTGGTCTATTTTAAGTAGCATTTCGCTAGGAAAGATCCTACCTTACCTGCAGTTTTAACTGTTAACTACATTATTATTCCAAGAGAAACCATTCACTGAGAGTAGTTAAGCAGAGAGAAACAAATAGAAAATAATAAAGAAAATATGTATAGAGGAATATGGAAATATTGGGTTAAATCAAGAATATAAGTCTATCCTACAATATTGTCCTGCTTCTACTATTGCATTTCTTTGATACTTACACTCACATTTGCTTTAGCAACAGCAATGGTGGTTTGAATGAATTTTTTTTGGGTTACATCACACAAAGAGATCCACTGATTGGTAGGAATCCATTTTTCATCACACACTTACAAGCCCGAGATAATTAACTGCATATAAAAAGCCTATTAAAATATGCTTTTAGTGCTGTGAAGCAGATTTTTTTCTAGATGAGATTTAAAAAGTGTAAATGCGAAGGTGTTGTCTTTTTCCACGGTTTTATCCAGGAACACTGAGATTAATAGGAACTTGCTGAATGAGAGTGATAAATGTTCATTGAAGTGCTGCTACTATAGAATCACTTATGTTTTCCACTTTCACATTTGTGATCTACTTCCTATTAAGTGAGGAATAATTGTGGGAGCAATCAATTAAGGTTAGTTGGTAATAGCTTTTGTATTTGTCAAAACACTGACAGCTTTTGGAATGTGCTTCAGAAGTCATTCTTTTAGCTCCTTTGTAACTTTTGTGCTGTCTTGTAATGAAGCATCACTGTTAAGAGCATTTAACTATAAGCAGAATAAGATGCTAAGAATATATTCCTGAATTTTTCACTGAAAGCATTGCAAAGATTTACACAATTAAAATTAATTTTTGCGAATAGCCTTTTCCAGGCCAAAGTGCCTAAATAATAATTCCATAAATGTAGAGTGGAAAACGTGAATGGATTTGGGATAATGTAGTGGCAAGACTTCAGTGAACATTTATTGAATGAGTAGAGTGTCAAGAGGATGGCAGAATTACAAAATGTAGGATTTTGTGGTAACTGTAGGTATTTTTCAGAAGTGTTGTGTTATGAAACAGAGAATAACATCACACATGACTATGTGCTGCATAGCAGTTTCTGGTCTTTCTTGCAGACGAATTGAATGCCTGACACCTTCTTAGTAAGAATTCTTCTGTAAGTTCATCTGGCTATTTAATGAGCTCTGAAGGCTGAACAAACCATTGAAGTCCTGAAATGGACATATAATTTCAATAATATCTTACATGTAATTAGGTTTTTACATTGTCTAGTACCTTTTTCTCTGTCTTAGGCTGTGGCAGAGAGGTGAGAGTGTGTATGGGATGGGACACTGTCAAAGAAGGATTTATTGTGTGTTATTCCTTATCAGTATAAGGGAAGTTTAAAACTCAGTCTGTGATAGGAATTCAATATGAGATTATAAAGTGGAGAATAAACTTTTATCTTATACAGGTCACCACTTGGTACTGTATCTGTTCCCAAGCAGGACCTCATATATTAAATCCTTTATCTTAGTCATAATTAAAACTTCAGTGAAAGCATCATATTAACCTCATGGTAGGTTCAGAGTTAGTTTGGATTAAAGAAAGACTTTGAGTGTGGTATGAATATTAGCAGGGAGTTATTCCATTGAAGTGGGGATGTATAGACACATTTATCAGGGAGAAATTGGTAAGTTTTGTACACTTGGTTAAGAATAAAAAATGGCTGCATAAAGATAGTAATTCAAATAAACATGGGAAGAAGAGAGCTCAAGAACTGGGAATAAGAAGATGTTTTTGAGGTGAGACTCTATCAGGCAGCAAGAGTAGCATTGAGCAGACCACTGTGGAGAGAATTCCTTTGGCCTTAAAGTGGAGTGATGATGATGTTCCTGTGATTCTCCTTCAGTTCAGATCTCAGGAGCTTTTAAAGTTGCCTGTTTCCTGCTTCTAGAAAATGCCTCTTGTGGACTATACCTGTAGTGTTTACCTTTGTTCAGATGGTTACAGAGATTTCTCTGAAAGGTTTCCAATTATATTAGATTTTTTTACTAAATGTTTGCAATAATAGTTTAATTAGACACTTCAAACTAAATTGATTTTGTCATTGTTTTTGTCATTTTGTAATTTTTGTCAGGTTTTCATCCTGTATAGCAAAGATGAATTATGAATAATTTTCTGTTGCACATTGAAATGGTAGGTTTTAGTGGCTTTTCTCAAACTGCTATTACTCAAGGTGTGGAGGAGAGCCTCTAACATCACATGGATAATTTTTAACTCTGCAGAAGATAAAGTAAGTGATATGCTAGTGAATTTTTATGAAAAATATTATAATTGAAGTAGCAATAGATATATATTTCAATACAACTTGTAGGAAATGTCTTTGGGATGACGTATTAAAATCTATGAATCATATTCATTTAGTTACCAAGCAAAGTCTGAGTGCGGAAATCTCACTTTTCCTTTTTGATTTTACAGCTTGCACATGCAGTGGACATGCGAATATCTGTCACATGCAAACAGGAAAATGCTTCTGCACAACGAAGGGAATCAAAGGAGACCAGTGTCAACTGTGAGTACAATTAAATGTAGCCTAAAGTTGTTGCAATCCTTGATCAGTGAATAATCGCTCTTTTTTCCCCATTTCACCTCCTTGTTTTGGTACTGGGTTTTGTGATTTGACCTGCTAATGTTTTTAGTGGTGGATATACTGTTCCCTATATTTCTCCAGAAATTTCACTATTACTTAAACTTCTCTTAAAAAGTGATGTCACAAATGTTAGTAATGCTTTTTAGACACTAAAGACTTTTTAAAAAATCCATTTTGTTTCCAAGAACAAACTGGAGAATTACCTCTATTTGTCTTCCTTTCTCTTAAGTATTTGAAATATTAGTGTAAGGAAAAAAAACATATCATATGAGTTGGTAATTACATTCATTATATTTGTCAGTTATCTTGATGGGAATCTACAGTGATTCAATTTTTAGGGTTTTGGAACCTTACTAAGGTGTTTTAGATACCTTCCCACATTATAAAATCGAGACCATAGGAATGTGTAGACTTGTCATGGAAAGTACTCTTTTTTTGCACTGGAATAGCTTCTTGTGTTTAGAGGAAGTGTTTGCACCTTCATAATAAATAGAGTACTAAGAACATCCAAGTACTGAAGTGAAGTGACTTACCAAGTAGGAGAAATGACACATTGACATTAATTGTGAATAGCCTTATATTTAAAGATGTTTATTTTAGTCTGTTCTATCTGGTACACTATGTTATTTAATAGGAACCTTATTAATTTTGCAATTATAATTATTTTAACAGTATCTGGCAACAAACTTACCTTAGCAATGTTGTTTGGATCTGGGATTGAACTGAATCCATCTGACTCCTCCCCAGCAGGGAGAGGTGCCAGGTGCTTCTGCTCTGCCTGCCACAGGACATCCACTTAGATGGATTTGTGCATTTGTGTTTGACACACTCAATGAACTGGCTTGGATCCTACCCTTAACGCTTTGCTTGATAAGTTGTAAAGAAACAAAAATTTCTGATGCTGAGGATCCGTGTATATCCGTGAGAAAGAGCTGTGCTGGCACCTGTGCTGTTCCCCTGCTGCCTCTGGGACTTGGTGTCCAGCTAATTGAAGACTCTCAGGATGAGATGGGAAATCAAGATTAGGACTAAGTGATGAAATTTTATCATGACAAAAGCTGGAATGATAATATCTTTAAGCCCTGAATTAAGTCTTCTTTGAAAAGTCTCTTTCCTCTCTTTTTGTGCCCATACAATTAATCAGTTCTGGGTGTTAATGAGTGATCTGATTACCAGCTATGACCTGGCACTGATGCCATTCTACTTATACAAAGAGCAGGAATAAAAAACCCCAACAATTTCTCCTCTGTCCTTCCTAACACTTGAACCACAGAAAACAGTTTCTGTGCTGAAAATGCCAATTCTTTACTGACTCCTCTCCACATAAGGCACTCTTTACAGGCCTTCACTCCAGCCTGTCTTTCACGTAGCTCTGTGTTGTTGTTGTCCTTTGTCCTGTATCTGTTTCATTGCTCTTTTTTCCACTCTGATTTGGAACTTTTTCCTCATATGATTGGCTGTGCTACTCAGCTATATCAGTCTGCTGTCCTGAGTTTGTCTATCCTAAAATGTTCTTTTATCCCACTTACTGAACTAGAAGAGAAAAGGTTTTCCTATTTGTGGACTTTCCTTGTCAGAAGTTACAGCAATTCCACAACACAAATGAAACAGAAATTTGCATTTTGATTTTACAAGAGTAAACTCAAAATTGCAATTCCAGACTGAAAAATCTCTTTTTTAGTCACGTGTAATACATTCCCCTTCTAGATTCACACACAAACCAAAGGCTTGTCCAGGGCAAGCTGTGGTGTTAAAACATCTGATATTTTAAGTGTTGGTGAAGTTTTTTTGAATTAAATAAAATCTGCAGGTGTTTTCAAATTTTTTTTCTTTGTTTTGGCTGTGATGAAATTTCAGATTATGAGATTCAGGTCTCTTGGGTTCATAGGCAGGCAAGCAAATAAACACAAATTTTGAGTTGGAGAACTCCATCAAATATGTTTAGAATTTGTCATTTTTCTCTGATAGCTGGTTTGAGAGAGTGATCCATTCATGTATGGAAGTTTCAATCAAATTTTTTAAGTATTTCCCTTAGAACATCAAGAAATGAAGAACATAAAAAAAAAATAAAAAAAAATCACTAATGAGTCACTGAATGCAGTCCCATAGTCATTCTAAACTTCATATGAAGAATATGAACTTGATTCATTTTGTATTATGCTAAAAAAACCGATTTCCTCTTTAAAAATCATTTGTACACTCACAGCCTCTCTTGAATGTGTCATAAGATATACATATGCAGTCATTAACTAGTAGATATCTATCTCATATCTAGAAGATATGGAGAAATTTAAATCAGCTCAGTGCTTTCCTTGTATTTATTACTTTATTATATGCTGTATAAATCATCTGAAACTTGATTTACTTGATGTAAACAGTAAAAAAAAATACAAATAAGAATACTTGGAGTCTTGTTTTTTCCCTTAACTTTTTCAAAATGAAATATGTGATTGGTAATAACAGGAAAATCATGGTGACTTAAACCATATTTTTAGGGGAAAACTATTGCTTCAAGGCAGTTTTTAAAATTTAATTTTCTCTAACATTTGATTTACTAGCTCCTGATTTTATTTTCTCATAGAATTCTGCCTACAGAGGTTTTCAAAATTCCGTATGTTTAGGTGTATAATCGCTATGCAGGATTATACACTGGGAACATTTCAGGGAATAGGCTTGTGGGAATGTGCAGAATATGCTGAGATGTTTCAAAGTTCAAATTTTGATACTGAATCAGAGAAACTTTCCTGGATGCAAGGAAGAAAAATATGAAAATGATGTGATCAAGTGAGTAATTAAATAATTCTTTGAGAAGTTTCAGTACATCTGGGCTCTTGCAAATGAAAGCCTTTTCACAAGCAAGTGTAGTTTTTGTCATCACTTTTTTAAGAACTAGGCAAAAACTGGGCTTCAAAAACTCTGTAATGAGGAACTACTAGCTGGGAGGAAAATACTGGGGGAAAAGTATTATTTCAAATCTCACATTTCATAGTATATTTCATATAATTGTAAGAAGGATACATTCAAGATTATAAAATGTGTTGCTCATTTTAGTTCTAATAAATGTTCACACCATTAATTTCTTAGACATACCTCTTCTGTAAGAGTGGAAGAAATAGTATTTTATTTATAAAAAATATACAGTATTTATTTGGGAAAAAAATCTTTCCTGTATGTAAGCTTTAAATAGCTATTTAATAATGTAAGGATCTGTACATAAAAAAAATAAGCACTTATTGATAGTCTGCTGTACCTAAGAATAAGATTTTAAAATATCCAGTCTTACTCTTCTGTATAATTTCCCTCCACAGAATGGTACAATTCCTCTTACCAGATGGAAAGGCAGGTAAAAGTATACTGGGTTATGAGTCAAATTCACCATTCTATTGATATCACTGCAGCTTTATTTGCAGATAGCAGAGTAAATCTTTTCCCAATTATTTCCACACAGAGCTTATCTCGCTGCTTTCCAGGAGGGGAAGAATTGGCAGCTATCATATAATAAATTCACTTGATTTGAACTTCCTTTATCTGAGACACACACACAAATCCCAAAACCAAATAGACAAAAAGGAATTCTTGTTGCTGGAAATTTAATAAAAACCCCCTTATTCTATTGAGAAACTGATTGAGAGTATAATCCATTTAATACTGGTTACCATGGTGGCTGGTGGTTTTCTAAAGTAAAGTTAAAGAGTATTATATTTAGTGGTTTAGATTACTACAGGAATAGCATTTTGGTTTTTTTCCCTGATTTCAACACTTTCCCCCCTATTTCTATAATTTGATCATATTTACCATTAGTTTTACATATTTGGCTGTATTTGATAGGAGGTGTTCATGCTGAGTTCAGTCCTTGAGTTTTCAGTTTAAGAGAAAACTTTGACATGCTAATATATGTTACTCCATTACCTATGATGTTTGGAGGAGAATTACAGCAAAATCTGTCATGTAGCTGTTGGTGAGTGTAGCAATGTTGGTGGGTTTAGCAACTGACTCTCTTATTTAACTGCCTGAAAATTTTAGCTTGCCTCTGTAAGGACAGGTTCATGCCCTCAGCTGGTTCTCAAAGAGCTGGATCATTAAGTTTCTAAGGAGAACAATAAAATAAAACTCCTACTTCAACATTTATGAGTACATTTATGTTTTAAATGTACTCATTTTCTGCTCTACATGTAGTAATTATTGTCAGATCTTTCAAGGATTTCAGATATTTTTTCTTTTAATCCATGTTTCTAGCATCAATCATTTTTTCTTAAATTGCAGCTTTCATTTAAGCAATATATCTAATATCAAAGCTTCAGAACATGACCCAAATGCACTTTAATGGCTCAAACCCTCAGAAGGCACTTGACACATTTGAGATCTAAAATTTGAAGCAAAGGAAAATACAGGTTTTGGCAGTATTGTATGTCACTCTTGGCCTTTCTGTTGATTTTTTTTTTCTTTTTTCTTTATTATTATTTTATTTATTTTTGTCCTACAGTAGGCTCCTTTTGTCTGCTTTGGCACATTCAGTATATTATATGTAAAGTTCATGAGGCTCTCTGGGATCTTTCAGAGTTGAAGTGAAACTGCACTTTTTGTAAGCATTGTTACTTCCAAATTTATATTTCATTCAGGAAATTGTCCAGTTTTGCAGAAATAAAGAACTAGAGTTGGAATTCCATGTATCATTCCTAGAAGACAGTGCTCAGAGCAGAAGTGACAATGAGGCAGTGGCTGAGGGAGAAACCACAAAGCACCTTGCAGAGAGCTTTGTACCTTGGGACTTCATTGTGTTCTGTCCCTATGAAATATACCTTTTCTCTTTCTGAGTTTAGTACTAATTGTCTGGAAAATGGGGAGCAGTTTGGACATGAGTTTCTCTTTCATGAGAATAAAGTAATTCTGCTTTGGTCTCTAATTTAGGATCTTCCATAGCC